TATCTTATCAACAACTAGAAAGAATTCTATTAGTCAGTTAATGGAATGTTTGTTAAGTAAACCATTTTAAAACAAAATTGATAGTTTATAAATTATTTTGAAAGAAAAAATTATTTTTAGACTAAATTGAAATAAATCACATAATTAATAGACAATTTATTGAATTTAGACATTTATATTGCAAATAGCTTGCATACCTTAAAATTTTTCTATTCACTGGGACTAGATAGATTTATCCTTTTAAGAGTAATTTTTAAGAGTGATCTAGTAAAGTTATTTGTACTCAGATAATAATAATAGATTTGTTTTTAAATAGAAAAAGAAAATTACATTACTCTCCATTAAAAGAAAAAAATCTACATTAACTCCTTATTGCTTGGGCCAAATGTCAATGATCTAATTATTTGCCGGTTACCAAAAACAAATGACGTGAAAAAGTCTCCAAATTTAGGGCGAACTTGACTTTCAGTTTGCAAAGAAGAGCACTGGATTCGTTTCTTTTCCAATGATAACTACGTATACTTTGTAGTGTACTTCATCAAATAATTACCCTTTTTTCTTTGCTCTAGACAGGGGTGTTCGTACTCATTCAAATCTGATTGATCCAATCTAAATTGATTTGGTTTAATTAAAAATCGATTCAAATCAATATAAAATTAGATTGGTTTGAATTTTAAAATTTTAAAATCGATATAATTAGTTTGATTCATAGTTTTACTTTCAAACTACCTGAACTACTCGATTACAAAATAAAATTCAATTAAAAAATAATTTAATTAAATAATATAACATATTTTTTGTAGTATTTTAAATTTTCTTTCTTTTATTTTACAAGATTATAACTCTATTAATTTAATTAAAAAAATAAAAATAGAACATCTTCATATTTTCTAAGTTATTTTTTTATTTTAATTATGCACTCTAATTTTAATTCTAAATTTTTAATTCACCTGTAACTTTATCCTCTTAGAACTAGTTTGCACTTTTACTCTTAGAATTCTAAATTTTTAATTTATTCTTAAAATAATCTTATGATTTTCCTAACTAAGTTTTAAATAAGTATCATTCTAAAAGTTTTAAACTATATAATAAAATTAGTCTTAATATTCAATTATTCTTAGATATTTGGTTTAGAAGTTTTAAATTTTGATTTTGAATGCTTCTAATCAATTTTAGTAATATTCATGTTAAATGCTATTCACTTTTAACAGGATTTAAAAAATAAAATGAAATTATTAATGTATTAAGAAAAAAAATTAATTTTAACCTTCAAGAATTATTTACGTTATGTTAAAAATTTGAAGTTTATTTTTATTGTTTTTAGTGCCTCTAGTGATGTAACCAAAAAGAATTTTCAGAACTTTTTAATTTTTACAAATGTAAAAGAGTATAAAAATTCGTTTATAATTTTTAC